ATATTTTATATATAGCATTACATGAAAAGTTCAAACCACTCTGTCACATTAATTCCTAAGATGACAAGGGCATCTTTTCATTATATTCATGTAGCATATCAACTTTCCGTGAGCACACTTTCTTGTCAATAGTCCAGTCCTTACTGAGGAGAAAAGTGTGTATTTGGAAATACCCTCAGCCCCTCCCCAGCTCAGTATCCATGTTTCAACTAAACCATGACCTGGTGACACTGAGAGCTTGCTAACTTCAAGACTTATTTTCACACCTCATGCATTTTTTAACCTTAACCCAAAGGTAGTCCAGACCAACCACAACCAGAAAAAAAGGTATCTTCAAAGAATAACCACAGTCATACTTAAAAATTCTGAATAATATTTTCCATCCCTGATGTTAGCTGTATGAGGTGTTTAACAGTGTTGTTTCTGCAGATATAGATGCGAGTTCTGGAAATTTTGGAATCTGAAAATGTTGACTGGTAACATCATCCATTTAAAATGACTCATTTAAACTTAAATTATTGTATTATCTGGGTCAGTAATTCTGTAATTTATCTAAAGTAATCCCTTATCCTAATTAATTGCCTATTGTTTATAGTGTATGTTATAATTTTTAAAAAGGTATATTGTATATTTATAGTGTGCATTGCTTTGTATATTGTATAAAGTAAAGTTAAATGATATATTTACAATGGCCTACACCAGCCATAAGGCGGCTCAACTAGGCCGTTCATACTTGTGATCCATGAAGCAACACGTGTGAGAGAGCATGTGTGTGGGTGGTTGGACCCTGACTCATCCGTATTTTCCAATCACCTTTTCTTAATGTGACCTTCTCACCTATGGAACAGAAATGATTGTTGGATTATACCATTCTGGTTAGGGACAGTCCTTACACAGTCCTACACAGTGTGTGTGTGTGTGTGTGTGTTTTTTTTTTTTTTCATTCTGTGAATGGACAAATGGCACTCATCCTCTACTTTATTGTGCTCAAGCCATGTTTCAGTGCAAGCGATGGTACTTTAAAGGCCAGTGACTTGTAACTGAACCCTTACTAACATTATATTCAGAGCATTGAACAGTATCCCGCATGAATATTCATTTTGTGAGTGTTTCTGTTTGTTCTTCACTCCTACATGTTTACAACCACGCATTGTGCAAAGTAATTGAGCATGCACAGGAAATGTAACACATTCTGAAATGACAACTCATGGAAACTAAATTGCTTCTGCGCTTTTATATGCAAATGAGGTGCAGCAAGGGCTAAGATATAGATTGAATTTATGCTTACCAATGCACAAACATCTACAAGGGAGCACAATGAATCCAGAGAATATGGTGTTTAACATATATTGGGTTGCAGCTTGGTCAAAGTCTGTAGTAACTAATGGTATAACTGATGCAAGTTGTTCCGTAGTTTGATGTTGTTCCTGTTTTAAAAAGAAAACATGTTGGCCAATTATAGCCAACTGAATGTTCTTCTTATATTAGCCAGTTGCTAGGCCCTAAAAGCTCTCCACAACACTTTAGCATCAGCCTAGCAGTGCCCTATCAACCAACTAGAACACCCTAAATTGCTTAGTAACACCCTAGCAACAACTCAATGAGTCTAGCTTGTCTTTATCTTGATCACAAGTATCACTGACAATAGTTTGTGGTTTAGTGCACCAGCTACAAGCCAGACACATGTATCTACAGTCGAATTACTCCGAAAGAGGATGTCTCAGCTCACTTGTGTTTGTTTTTTGGTTTCACGATATGCATCAATATAATTTTCTATTTGAGTTTCTGATCTTTATCTCCAAACCACTATACCTGGCTTCCGGAACGACTCTTGCAGGATGTGGATGTTGACGAGAGTCTAATTATTTTGAATGAGTTGTGTTTCAATATCCAGATTTTATTTTTATGATACACTTCCAAATTGTGAAAAGTACACAGTCACCTTGAATCCATTGGGGGTACCGGGGTCAACATCAGTGACATTTCAATTAAATGCTATGGATATGTTGCAAGACTTTTAGGTGTTTTACTTTATGAGGATTTCACAGTTGACCTTTCCAAACATGGTGTGTGATTGTCTATAGAACCGTGTCTCGTGTATTGTAATAATACTACGAAAATATCTCAATGCACATATGTATGACAGCGGAACCTTTAGAAATCCTCAACCTACACAATGTGCCAGTTCCTGAGCATTCTCCCCGAAACTTTAAGCAGCGGTGAATTTCAATGATAGGTGGGTGAATTTCGATTTCGGAGGGTAATGCGGTGAGGAGAACTGTATGACTTTTTGCGATTAACTAAAGTCATGACTTTTTGTTCTGACCTGATCAGTTCTTTCTCATCTTCCTCATCCCATCACTATATAAAATCTGTTTGTTTATAGCACATATTTTCATATATGTATACAGTTTAACTTAATTAAGATTGCAAAACAATATCATAATTTTGACAATGAGTATATATATATATATATATATATGTGTGTGTGTGTGTGTGTATGTGTGTATATATATATATATATATATATATACACTGTATACATATATATATATATATATATATATATATATGTGTGTGTGTGTGTGTGTGTGTGTGTGTGTGTGTGTGTGTGTGTGTGTGTGTGTGCTCAATGATGATTCCACATAAGCTTTAATTGTCAGTGATTCAAGGAAAAAGCCTCTAAAAGCTGATGTCATTAACGTGTGTAGCAGAGATGCTCATTGCTCAAGGTGCATTTTGGATGCAAAGCATGTGAAATGAAAGTGCTGATGAACACCCACTCATATTTCAATATTTTCACACATATAAATAGCCTAGATATACTTTTATTTTCAACTTGAATGCCTAATGACAGATAACTTGCTGACTGTTTTTTTTTTTTTTTTCTGGTCTTGTTTTCAAATGGCCCATGATCAGGTAACATAAATATTCAGTTTTCACAGGAATTGCAACAGGTGAATGTAGATCCAACAATTCTTAGGAAATGGTAACACTGTCATGTTTTATTTAATTTGTTTTCATTTGTCGCCTTTAAGAAGCCAGCCAGCAAGTGATGTTTTCCTGTAAAAAGCACCTTAATTGATTCTCACCAAATTCTTCAGACTTTTACTGTGTCTTACCCAGGTACTCTCTCACTCTATTTGTGTTGTACACAACCCTTCAGTAGAAGGATGAGTCTGTGGTCTGCTCTTCTCTACTTATCGTAAGCTTCACAAGCTCTCGCTTACCAGAAGTGACGGGACACGGGGGGTTTCTCAGTGACATCACTCAGAATCCAGACTTCGCTGTTGCAACCATGCGTTCATGCCTATGCTATAGAGAAGCAATCACAAAGTGTTTAATCATCCTGTTAATCCAAGAAGATGATCAAAGATGTATAGACCTTTAATTTATTCATTACTTTCTTTATTTTCTTCACATTCATGCGTTCCTCACCCTGTCACAGTTTCCGTTGGGGGCGGTGCTGTGTCTTGTCTGTCTCTAGCTGTTTTTCAGCATGATTCAGATGAGATATCATCAAGATCTGAGAAGCTGTTGGCACCCTATAAGTAACTGTTGTTTTAAAGCTTAGCAGCAATGAAATCCTGCCCAGCACAGTGTGTAGTCTGGCCTTTAATTTCTTTCTTTCTTTCTTTCTTTTAATATTTTATTATTTAGAAAGACGACATGAGCAAGCAAAAAATGTAAAGAATTTAATTAACTTAAACAAGCACATCACTAGCATTTGTTTGACGTAAAAAAAAAAATCTAACCTTCTAACTAAATATGTATTCCATTGATTAATAATTGATGATGATTCAAAAAGGAGGGTGAAATAATGCTTATTGAAAATTATAAAATGTAACAATCATGCTTAGTTAGAACAGCTAAATATCATAGGGAGGAGAAAACGAAACTATTGTTGTGCATCCTGTCAAACTCTATAGTAAATGTGATTGTACCTGTTCCTGGATCAAAATCTGTGTTGATCCTGGAACAACATTCTAATTAACCAATCAGATTTGAGGGTCAAGTTTGCAGTTTATGTCAAGTTTAGGTTTAAAACTCTATGGTATTGTGATGTTACTGTTTTTTTCACTCTTATAAGTTCAGATCTCTGAACAGTTAGTTTCTTGTTTACATCAGATTTGAATTTCGTATTGATTTAAGGATATTGCATGTGTTTTGGCACATGCATGCAAAGTACACTTGTCTATGATTTGCACACATCAAGACACATCTGATTCTCAGTGAAATTGTCAAATTCTTCCATCGTGTGAGCCTTCGCATGCAAAATGATCTGTTAAATTATCAAAATCTGTTGGACATTCATGTATATTCCATAAAGACATTTGAGATGTTTGTAATATCTGCTAAAATGGCATTGTTTTCTGCTAAAATTGCATGTCATTGTAATGAAATATTAATCACAGTCACCAATCAACCAATCAAGTTACATGTAAAAATGAACAAACTGTGAATTTTCAGTTTGCATGAAACTTGATTGGTTGATTAGTAAGATTGTGATTCATAGTTCATCTGGCCATTTTACACTTCTGTAAAAATAAATGTGTTAAAAATGTTTGGTCCCACTTTAGGTGTCTTTAGCCTATGTACTACTGACATTTACTGTAATTGAACAATTTCATACAATGCACTTTTATATTGTGCTTACATTTATCAATGATCTGCATGTAATTACAGCTGTAATTAAATATAGAATGACACTGTTGACCCTTTCCTGAACCATGAAACCACCCATACCACTAAACCTGTACCTAACCATACCTGCATCCCACCTCAATAGCAGCACAAGTGTTTTGCAATCCTATATGAACACAACAAGAACACTGGACTTTGATGTATGTAAAGGACACCTATATAAAGTGTGACTAAATGTCTTTTTGTGTGCTTTATTGACTTTTAGTCATTTTTTAACTACTGATGAAATCTGTATCTAAAAAGCTCAGTAATTCAGTTAGACAAAACTGACAGTTTAGTATTAAACATGAAATTTGTATATAAAAATATTTCCATCAGTTGCACTTTTTTACAGTATGTGTACTTACAGTGTACATATAGTAGTTAACATAAAGGTTTAGGGGTAAGTTTAGAGTTAGTACCTAGTTATTACCAAGTTATTGTAATTGCTATAATATGCATAGGGAACATGACTGTAAAATAATGTGCTACCAAAACATCTAAACATTTCAACCAGTGTGGCTTACACAAAGACAAAAACACTTTTTATGTTGGTGGCATTGGCCAATTTACTGACACAATAGGTTTTGAAGCATGAATTAAGTGTTTCGGGTGAGTAAATACATTTTGCAGACTTACAATAGAGTTCAAGCAAACAGTTGTGATAATTAAGCTACAGTTTAGAGAATGTTAAGAATGTTTAGAAAAATGTGCCAAAGCAAATGAGAAAAAATTAGGCAGATGCCAGCATGAAAAGGGTTGCATGAAATGCCCTCATTCTCTCTCTCAAAAAAAAAAAATTACACAAAATTAGCATGTCATAGATTACATTAGAGATGGGTTATGGGTTTAGCATTGTGTTAAAGAACCACTATCTCACCATCACTAAGTAATAATGAGTGTCACATACATGGTTTGCTTCTAACTTGCATGAGTTTTGTGCATGCATGCCATCAGTCGCAGGAGCGTGAGTGTCAAATGCACAGGAGACAAGCAGTTCTGTTAGAGCTTGTAGTTGAAAGAAAGAAGGAAAATAGACAGACAGAAAGGCAGACAAATGAATAAAAATACAAGGAAAACATTTGTCTTGTGTTTTCATTAACAAAAATATATATACTTGGTCTATTTTCACACCTGCGTTTATTGCAGTACACTCAATCTTTCACCGAAAGTACGTAAGCAATATGCATATACTGTTTAAATACTCATTACTTAAAATGAAGCAAAAAAGGTATTTGCACTAAAAGCATAAACAACAAAAATTCCATATTAAAAACAAAAGGTAAAGAAAATGTGGTCTAATTTCGAAGTGATAGCTTGTTATTCTGTCCCTTCTTAAACTGTCACGTCTTAAAGTGATCGGGCAGAGATGTTACATAACACATTGTTGGCTGCATGGAACGCTATTCCTCTCCATAGTCAATCGTATTTTTCCGGAAGCCTTTTCCTCGCATGTAGGAATGGAGGGTTTTTAGCTCATCCATGACGCTCTGCTGGATATGCACATCACTGAGCTGTAAGTTGTGAAGATAGAGTTTATAACACATACACACACACATGGAAAAATTAAAATCAGTCTTTCAATAGTTCAATACTTACACTCTCATTGGCATTCTTCAGTTTTTGGAGCTGTAATATAGCAAGCTGTTTTGGTTTCATTTCTTTCTCCGGAATCTGGATAGAAGAAGTGTTTTTGAATCCTTTCTGAGTAAAATTTACTAATATTAAATAATATATATTTATTTAAAATATGTACAAGAATATTTACATTTATGGAGGAAGTTGCAGCCTTTTCATCTAGCTTAGTACATTTTATCTGAAACAATGAAGAGGGAGTAATGAAATTAGTCAGTTGTTCAGTGCGGCCTAAGTGATATAATCACTCAAAGGCACAGTGAGTGATGTAACATGACATGGTATAATATCTATTCTGAAAATAGAATGTGCTGACCTTATAAACACAGTTTCTGAGTTGATCCAAAATGTGTATAAGCTCACGATGGTAGTTCATGTCTTTGTGAGGGACAGACGTCTTCTCTGTCTCAATGAGAACCTTTTGAAATAGGTCGATGATTTTCTGCAGGATACAGCTGTGAAGATTTTTCTGATGAATGATAAAGATACAGCTCAGTTTACATGAAATGTGTGAAACCGGATGCCATCCGAATTGTAGATGGCATGATAGCCATTCTTCGTCTTGGAATTAAGTCATTGTGAAGTTAAAAGACTGAAAATATGTGACATATGACATAGAAATCAGTTTACTTATAGGTTTATCAAGATTGTTGCTAAAATTCATGAGGCCCAAGACAACATTTGTATGGGTTGGGCTTCTTGGGTTAAGGCACAATTGTGTATCATATAGGACCTGATTGAGCCCCACCTCATAACACGGCACCAGATTGATTTCATTACATTCATATTACTTTTACATTGATTTTTTTTTTCATTCAGGAACTGAATTTCTGCACCACGAATATGAGAATATGATATATGATGACTTATAATATGAACAATGCCTCTTACCTTTCTCCGTATTTTGTCAAAGGAATTGTGCCTCAGGAGGATCTTCTCACCATCTGCAGCTACCTAAGAGGAATATTCAATCCATCATAAATTGAAATATTCAATGTCTCCAGGGCAATGAACACCTGGCTTTTCTTATCGAGTTGCAGCACTTTGCTGTCATACTGATTTTGTTATATTAAATAGTTATATAGGCTTATAGTTATTTGGCAATTAACAAGACTTATAGTAGGATAAGAGTACTCACCACATCTTTGCTGACATGCACGGCTATATTCGCCAACAAGTTCAGATCAAAACAAGGTCCCTCTTTGATGCAGTTTTCATTTTGGAATACCACCGTGCACTCATGTATCTGAATGCCAAGAATTAGGACCAGAACAAAATATTGCAAAGCACTAGCCATATTCTGTCCCCAAATGACTAAATGAACGTTTCTGAATGGAGGTCCTGCTGATACACCTGTCTCATTCTTTTCTTCCTTCTTTTGCCTTCGCTTTGGTCCTCACCTTTATATTTTTTCTAGTTTCCTGGTGACGTCAGCATAGTCCGTTCCTGATTTTCTACCCCACCCGTTCAGATCAAACGATGATGTCAGACTGTGAAACAGTAACGTAATCCATGTTCGGTTATGTATCCAGTGTGGATCATGTCTGGGCTTAGATTGTCACTGCAGAATGCAATGTTTTCTGGCAGCTTCGTGCTATTCGAGGGAGCTTAAATAAAAGAAAGTCACCACAAAATTGTAATACAACTCTAAAACGAGGTCATGACATTTGTGCGGCTCGAGGATGTCCCAGATTCTAAATATTTACACAAACCACATGGCTTGGTCAAGGAAAGTTCATTGGCAACATAAATGGCACCATGATAATTATATTTAAAGACAATTAGAAACAATTTCATATTGAATTTGCAGGTTTGAGAGGCTAAGGCTAGACTAAACTAAAAACAGAAATGGAACGAGATGACTGATCATCTGATAAGGTGATAAGGGGTCACCAGCGGAAACTTAGGGGGAATTGAAATCTAGGCCACTTTCCAACATCTCATCTCAATCTTGTTTGTTTTTTGAGGTCAAACGAGGCTTTGGTTATTACTTTTTAATGTTATAACTGAGTTTATTTAAACAGAATTGCACAACATTGTTATATGATGGTTCAGTTGATCTGTCTTTGAATCTGTCTCACAACCTACAATTTTGCCAGTTATAAAGTTTTTAAAAGTTAGTGTACTTGGTAATTAAACTCAACGCTTGAGAATAAATCTGTGACGTAAAAAACGAGGAAAAATCAAGGTAAACATCCCTTATAAACATTTTAATTGTGCTTCAAATTATTTAACTCTATTTAGGGAGAAAAATTGCTATGAAATTAGCCTTGGCAAGACAAAGACGTTATCTTTTTTATTTAAAAAAATCCGCTTGTTAGAAGACAAATTAAATAAATATTTTTGTATTTTTTAAGTCTTATTTCCTCGGTTAACACAGCAAATTCCAACTGAACTTTCGATTATGTCTACTTGCCCTTAAAAATGAATTTCCAAAAAGCAACACACTGTAAGATGTGGTGTGCAATCCCCATACCCAAGGAATTTCCAACTTCTGTTTTCATGCACTCAGCATATGTTAAATGAGAAGAGACAAAGGAATACAGGGTTGGGGAGGGAAGGGGAAGGGGATTTCCAGAGAAATAGTGTTTGTCTTATCCTCACTTCATCAGCGTTTACCCTGTTTACCCGGTTTCTTTGAAATATAGGTACATGTAAACAAGAAGTAATTTGAGCTGCTTAAAAATGAAAGGAAGCCATTTAAAAATGCAAACATACATCATAAATCAAGTCTCACTGGGTTTAGTTACATCCCAGGCATAAACCATGATTTGCTATTTGATAGTCAGATGCAGGTGGTTTTAGAGGGTGGCAAATTTTTATTCTAGCATTTGATTGGACAAAAATCAGAGTGCGGGATGAGTCATTGATATTTTTTCTGTTTCTGCAAGGGAAAGACTCTTTATAAGGAATATAAATTTTATCATTATTTAGTCAACATTTAGAATAGCATAGCATAGACACATGCAATAGACACATGCAATAGAATAGCATGTGTCTTGACACAATCCTGTCCATGAGCTACAGGCAGTTATTTTGCCATCATGGCTTGGTTTTTGCTCTGATATGCATATTCAGTTGTTAAAGATAAAGAAGAAGCTGTTAGACTTTTTATTGAGAGGTGTGTAATTCTAAAGCACCTATTCAGCAGAATATATTTGCATAGTACACTCTAAAAATTGCTGAGTTGTTTTAACCCAGCTTTGGGTGAAATATGGACAAACCCAAACGGGTTAAAATATAATGAAAAAATGTAACCCAATGGCTGGGTTTGTCCATGTTTGACCCAAAGTTGGGTTAAAACAACCCAGCAATTTTTAGAGTGTACTATGCAAATATATATTAAAAACTGCTGAATAGGTATGCATAATATATATATATATATATATATATATAAAGTATATATAATCTTGAATATATATATTTATATATGTACAGTATGATTATGCATATGAGTTACTTTTGAAATACCCGATTTCTCAGAAAGTTTGGAAAGTCTGTTGCCGTATAACACTGCGGGGAAGCTATGCAACACCTTTATATGCAGACAAACATATATATATACATATTGCTCCAACACAGATGCATGCAAATGGGTCTGTATGTATTTTTCCATTTACTTTAAAAAGAAAATGAAAATGACATTGTATAATATTCAGTATGTATTTTGTTTTGTGCATCTGTGAGAACCTTTGATAGTGTTAACCTCATTAAAGTGAAATAAACTGGCTGGACCGCAGACAGTCTGCAGAGTTTTTCGAAACTGTGGTGAGAGCTGGCATGTGTTGAAAAGGGTAGTTTCATCTTAAAGCAAAATGAAAATAAATAAATAATCATGCTTAGAGCCATGCGATTTTCTGTGCAAGTGCAAAGGGCATCTCTTGACAGCAGTAAATCATGGATGCTGTTTAATTGTGAGTATGATTATGATCCATACTCTCATTCTGCTGGTTTGTGGTGAATGCATCATCAACAGTTAAAAAACCCCTTTGCTGAGTAATAACACTTGCATCATCATTTCTTCTACAGTGAAAGCTGGTCCTCAGTGTAAGGTGCTGGTGTCATCACCCACCATTAAAGCTTAAATAGCAAGACTGGTCAACCAGATTCACCAAAAAAGACCATGCTGGTTGACCAGCTTAATGTTTTGCTGGAGAAGTGCATTGCTATGCTGGTCCAGCAGTTAGATCAGCACCAAACCATTAGTAGTATAAGCCAGCTTGAAGCAGCAAGGAGATTCACTGTCACATGCTAATTGTTAACTTGAACAGTGTCTGTAAAATATACAAAAGGTGCATGCTTTCCCCACCCCCTTGACATAATAAGGACTCTTTGCAGTTCCTTCCTTTTCCTGGCAGTCGAACAATACATAAAATTCCAACTTTTATGAATTTATTGTTTGCGGTGTGTACTTGCAATGCGAAATACAAGCTTTGCTTACATAAACAGAAGAAAGGCCCAAACCTGTTTAATGACATGTTTCTTTTTTGCCTGGAATTCCCATAAGTATTGTATAAGAGTAGTATTATATGTCACATGCAGGTAGGTCACTTGACTGTCTTTTAAATATCAAATGGCATCTGCAAACAGTTTATTCTTTTCTCGAAATTTACTTCACTTATCTTATCAATTTTAACTAATGAATGTCAAGGTTTCCTTTTCTTTTCTTTTTTTCTTTTTTTTTTTGCTTGAAAAGTGTGCATGGTCAGCTGTCTTTAAAAATGGCAATTGGTTTGCTATTTGTATCTGATACGATGACATTCTAACATCTTTAAGTGCGACATAAGTGTACTTTTTCTCAGGGATCTCTATATGTTGACTTTGGTGTCTGATTTCAAACGTGCAATATGATGAGGAAGTCATGATTTATTTTGAGTGGCAGTTTAGTCTGTAATGTGACATTCAGAGACATGTAAGGGCCAAGTCAAATTTCAATCAATGAAACTGATGACAAAGGGGAAGGACTGTGGAGGCATTACTGTGTCAAATAGAAACATGTCTTGGCATGTAGACTGGCATAAAGTCAATTAAATCAGCACAAGTATTTAAAAAAAAAACATTTTATTTAGTCATAGACCTTACAACTTTTGCTATGTAACTAGCAAGTGGTTTACAGTGATCCTTTCTAATAAATAAGAACAAATAAATACTGTCAGTTTGAACAATTATCTCTTGCGCACAATGTGTGCACAACATGAGCTTTATAAATAGAATAAATAACACTGATTTTCCACCATTTTTAAATAATGATTAAGATCTACTAAGACTTCTGCCTCCTGATGCTTTTGGCCTGTCGTCTCCTGCGGTCTTTATTCTTCAGGTTTCTCATCTGTGTTGCTTCTCTGTAGACACGCTTGAGCTCAAACAAGGCTTTGCGCTGGATGACTGGGTCATTTTCCTGCAATTGCAAAGCATTTAATCAGTGACATGTCTTTATAATGGCATCTCAGAGTGGACGCAATACTCTAAATTGTATGTTTTTGAACTTAATCAAGTATAGTATCTAGTAAATATGGTGTGCATTGTAATGGCAAACATAGTTTCAAAAAGCCTTGCCACAAACCTTGATTACGCACTTTTAGAAATAAGACTCCTTTCATGTGGTTACCAAAAGGGGCATTTTAACCAAGGCCACATTCAAAATGTCGTGAAATATCAGTTCAAATTAAATGTTTCAAATGTGATGGATAATATGAGGCAGATATTCATATATTCATATACATATTTTGAGGCGTATATATATATATATTTATAAAATCTGCTTTGATGAGTAAATAGAATGATTTCAAGGAACAATATGTATATTTTTAAAATATCACTTTATATTTGTTATAGTTTTATGACCAGTTCATTTAGGGCCAGTAAAATTTCTCAGTGACCATTGGCAGGTGTGAAAAAAACAACAACACTCTTTTATATCAACACAGAGGAACAACTGCTACATATAGCTCTAAAGTTTTGGTGTTCAGTGCTACTTGGTGTCAAGTTAGATTTCACAGAATCTGAAACTGCCATCTCACCTTAATCGCCCATAAGGTTTCTGCATATGTCTTGAGCTCTGCACTCTTGCCTGGGAAGTAGTTATCTTGCAGTTTTTTTAGATGCTCTTGAACATGTGCCAATCTGTCTTTTGTAGCTTCATCCAGACTCTCGTTCTGCATGCGAGTGAATATCCTACTGTATGTGTCCATAATGATGCTCATCAGTAGATTCTGTTCACTTTCCTGTCACACAAAAACAACACATATGAGCACAATGTGCAGTCAACACAGGATATCCCATGGCATATAGGATGTATCAAAACAATATGCCCTTTGGTTTAGAAAGGCTACACTGGTATCCTTTCGCTTTTCTGCCATTTTGAAAGAGGCTATTTACCTCAAGATTCACCTTTAAATCTTTCAGCACCCGCAGGAAGACAGGGTGTGCGTTGTGTATCTCACGGTCATCTTTTATCTGGAAGAAATGAAAAGGTCATCGTTTATATTGGTTACTTTTAGACAGATGTCATTTCGAACTCTTATCTCTTCTAAATTAATCAGATGAATGTGTTCATTATTATTAGCATCTGAAACCCAAACTCAACCTAC